TGATGTGATACACACATACAAACTCAAACACACAGCAAGGATGCAAAATACACTACGCCTTACTGGTTTCATCTCAAGGACATTCACTATAGGAATTCATCGGGAGACGCTGTATTGATTGCATTTTCTTAGTTTCTTTGTTCCTGGTGCTTTCTCAGTTGATTCGGGAGAGACCAGCCCTTGCCTGGAGAGTGCAGATGGCTTGAGTGTGAAGACAGCCCTGACACACCAGCCAGCCAGCCGGAGCCCACACACGAGTCACCTGCCTCGTCAAACTCACACACCAGCCAACAGCCCCTGCCTCTGACACCCCAGGGCCAGCAACACACAGCTAGCGGCCACCCCATCACAAGAGCTCATTCCCTCAGTGGCCCTCCCTGCCTCACCCCTTCCTCCAAGAGAGCCCCAACAAGGCTCTGAGCCCGGCTCTGTCCCTTCCCTGACGACCTTGCGTCGCACGCCTCCTGATTCCGGGATCCGAGAGTATCAACCTTTTTTGGTCATGATCAGCGCTTCTGTGTCTGCTCTCTTATCACCCTTGATTACAACAAAACCCGTGTATACGTCTAACACAATTGTCAACAAACATTTATACTGAAATACAGTCATCCTTGTGAGATCAGTATGTGTTACAAGCATGATTTAGAAGTTTCTCCCGATGGACTCTGCTAATGATGGTTCAGCTTAAGCCTGTTCGTGGCTCACAATGACTCCAAAGCAATGCGCATTCAATAGAAATCACACTTAGAATTTTGATTTGGTGTCAGAGATTCTCCCAGGCTAAGGATGTGAAGTGAAACCTCTCTCATGACGCTGGGCAGGTGCACCTCCCAGTCAGCCCCATGACCACAAGGGGAACCACTGATACCAGAGAGTGTGCTGTGTTCAGAGCTGGGACCATGAGTAGGTTAAGCTTACTAAAAACATTGTCAACCTTGGCATTTTCAACATGCAATGGGTTTATAAGGAGCTAACCTTACCATGAGTTGAGAAGCATCTGTACAAGTGAGTATATCAGGAAGATGAGACAATATTGTAATAGAAATTTTAACAACATGCTCAAGATCTAACACTAAATGGATCAACAGGACACTACACACTGTGTACCGCACATAAGCAAACACTGATACGTACACACTCACGTATACGCACCCGCACACAGGCACATCACAAATGTGTATCCGTGGGCATGCATGCACATAGACCTCCTCCTAGCGAATGCCGCCCCACAAATACCAGGCTCCCACACGACTTCAAGGGTGCAGATTCCAACACAGCAACCTGCTGATATACACTTTCTACTTGCACCTACCAACGGGGCTAGCCTGTGTGTCTTTCTTAAATGGTTCATAAGGGTTTAATCAATACAGCACACTGACAACGACGGGGCCACTGCAACTACCAATAACTGCTGGACGTGACAACGTGGACCTTCATGTTTAAGATCAACATCTGGGGAAAATACACCCAATCCTTAGAATGAGCTGAGATACGGGGTTCTGTGTCGTTTGAATACTTCTGGTGGGCTGCCTTTATAAGTTTGCTGCACATAAGCATGTATGATTATGATCATCAGAAAACACTGTTTTCTGTTGCTGAGAACATGCGGCAGACACAGTTAAGATGAAGTGGGAATCTGATTGTCCTTTCCAGCTAACTCCTGTCCCGTGGGACTGACGCGGCCCAGGTAAGCCCTGGCTCTGTAATCTGTTCCCCACGGGCACGCTGGGAGACACCATCAAGAACAGAGGTAGGGTGTCAAAGGCAACCCAAAATTATTTTTCAAAGGACCATGGTTTTTTTATCTTGTCAGAACTGGATCACCGCCAACAGGCCTCACCCTACTCAACAGCACCAAGGTGCTCAATCCCCACCCTACAGCCTGTTGTCTGCGTGGGCCTGTTCAGAGAGGGAGAGCTAATCCACGCCATCACCTTCAGAAGAAAACACAGGAGACCAGAGGCAGACCCAGCTTCTCTACAGGAAATCCACAGGGCTGAGGATTTTAGTCACAGTAAAAAACTTAAATTTAAATGAGTCTTTTTTTTTTAACCTAAACAGTGAACTGAAAAATGAGGGAAGAGCAGGGAAACACGCAAGAAGAAAAACACTAGGATGTTCAAAAGCCTAAAGATATCAATAAAGAAGCATCCGGCACTAAACTCCAGATGAAATTCAGTACACTGGTGGTGGCCATCCATAACTCCCTAAATGGAAGTCAGAGCGAAAGTGTGCACCTACCTTGTGACTTTCTCTACATATCATACAGACGGGAAGACACAATGAGATCATGGCCCTTTCAAAGTGTAGTTTATTGTCCAATATTTTCTCCAGTGTACTCGTGATTCTCACTGATTAGAACCAGGAAGGTCAGAGACAGAGGCAAGACCGCAAGAGCAGGGAGCAAACAGGTGCCTAACCGACTAGACGCGGTGCAGTGGAGGCTAGCGTGGCTTGAAGAACTGTGTCGCAGGTGCGCCAGCCAGCAGAGGAGTTGTCCCCCAGCTGAGCTGTGGCCTCCCACTCACAAACCCACCCACACAGACATTTACATTTGCTGCCTGTACTGACAGGAAAAACTCCAGGAGAAGAAGTGAGAGTCTGTACATCAGAGACTCGGATTTAATCAGGAAAATAACGGTGATTCTGAGAAGCCAACATTGCAGCCACCGGTCATCAGTCATGAAGAGAGCCACAGCGCCAGATCTTGAGGAGCTCACATGGGTCTGATTGAAAAACCACCACGACAGCAACGGGAAAAAGTTCCTACTGCCTTAGAGAACTGGACAACTCTGCAAAAAGAATGCACCTCCACTACTGGAGAAGACAGTACACTTTAATACTTTGGGGGCCGTAGTGGGTAAAGATGCCACCTGGGGTGCCGGCATCCCATACAGGCACTAGTTCAAGTCCAGGCTGCTCCACTACCAATCCAACTCTCTGCTGTGGCCTGGAAAAGCAGCAGTCCTTGGGCCCCTGAACTACCACGGGAGACCCGGAAGACACACCTGGCTCCTGGCTTCGGATCAGCCCAGCTCCAGCCATTGTGGCCATCTGGGAAGTGAACCAGCAGGTGGAAGACCTCTCTCTCTCTCTCTCTCTCTCTCTCTCTCTCTCTCCCTCTCCCTCTCTCTGCCTCTCTCTGCCTCTGCCTCTCTGTAACTCTGCTTTTCCAAAAATAAATAAATCAATCTTAAAGAAAAAGACTTTGTACAAGGCATATTGCTTTTCAAATATAAGATATGTGTCTGTTTGCAAAAATAAATTCCAAGACACATCCACTCAAAAATGTGTACATGAAGGTCTGTAGCAGAACTATTCATGAAAGTACAAAATACGGAAATGATCTAAATGAGCTTCCACCAACCAATGAACGGTGAACAGATGAAGAAAATGTGATAAGGCCACAATGGAACATCGCTAGCCAGGAAAAGGAATACAGCACCGTACAGGCCACAACAGGAATGCACCTGGAGAAAAAGCTCAGGGAAAGAAACCACTCTCAGAGCTGCAAGGCTGATGATTCCACTCACATGGAATCTCTTGAGTGGGCAAATCCATAGACACAGAAAACATCAGTGGTCAACGAGAAGAGCAATGGGTATCAGGCTTCTGGGGAGTGCCAGCAAAATACTCTAAACTTAGATAGTGAGGCTGCCATGCAATTCTGTGAGCACATGAAAAATGCTGGAAACCTTAAAAGAGTGCATTTTATGGGATGTTAACATATCTTGGGTCAGGCTGTAATAAAAAGAGAAAGGACAGAAGGATTTCAAATGTTAACTCGGGCTATGGGATTCTTCGTGATGCTGGATCCCACAGCAGCAGGAGCTGGGGGAAGAGAAGGCAGGAAGCAGTACAGCCAGCCCCCACGGGGGACACGGAGGGGATCTTCTCAATCTAGGGGCAAAGAGGCATCCTTAGTGTCATCTGGGGAAGCCCAACAGGAAGGGGAGAGACCTCCTACACGGAGCCTTTTCCTTCCTCCAGGGTCTCAAGAGTCTGGTATCAAGGGGACCAGGAGATAAGACTGATATTTATAAAAAGTAGAAGACCCACATAAAAACCAATGGAAAGTTGACATTCTTATTCAACAGTTCGAGCCCAGAGCAAATTTTTTTTGACTGAGATGCCCCAGCTATCTAGACAGCTTGTTCCCATCTATGAGGACTTTAAAAAGTCAGGAGGGTCCGATGGAGTGCCTGGCTCCTGGCTTTGGCTTGACCCAGCCCCGGCTGCTGTGGCGCCTTAGGGAATAAAGCAGCAGATGGAAGATCTCTCTCTCCCTCTCTCTGTAGCTTTGTGGGTCAAATAAATAAATAGTTTTCTGAAAAGTTCAACAAAACACATATTATAAAGAAACTATTCATGCATTTCCAAACTGTTCTGCATCAAAATAAACTTTTTTAATTTAATTTTTCCATGAACTTTTTTGAGGTTCCCCTAGTACATATTAAAGAAGCAATCGACTCCACAATTACTTTAGAGAGCTTACATTATTTATGATTATAGATGATTTTATGATGGATACTATGTATCATCATAAATTACTCCATAATTGATATTACTTACTTCCACCATTTGTTTAATAATTACATTGGCATAAATCTGGCTGCAAGCCCAAGAACTCACTCTGGTCTCCAAAACGCATGCCACGCAAACCCTGAGACATCCCAGCGCCTGTGAGCACAATTCTTCACGCACGTATTTAACTTAGGAGACACTTCCATTCTTTTCCAGGATTTCTTCCAAGAGTGAAGCAATTAAGGTAGCTGGAGCGAACGATTTCCATCATCATTCTCTGGCAGGGGAGCAGGACAGAGGGGCCGACAGGCAGAAAGGTGCCCAGCGCAGTGCCCAGGCACTGCACATGTAGCTTCCAGTACTCACCCCTGCTCTGGTATTCTACGCATAGACGACTATGTTTCGGTCAGCACAAAGGGTTTAGTGCCATACGTCAGCCAAGGAGAATGTTTCTGGCCACGTCCACCCTTGATTGGTAAACATGTTCTTCTGGAATCTCAGAACTATGCCAGAGAGCACTTACTCTGCCTGTAACAACGCAGCCTCAATCACAGAACACCCTCCTGCCCCTTCTCAGCCCCCACGTACCAGAACCCCCTGTCCGTCCACCGCTCCCACACACGAGGTCACAGCATGGTACCATCAAGACAGCCTGCAGATCACCAGTCATGCCCCCCTCCCCATCACAATTCTCTAAATTTTCAGTAATTGTCTCTTTACAGATGAATTCCTTGACCACTGGTCAAGATTCTCACTCATCCTGTCATCCAGGAGAGTTTCCCTAAGGAATTTCCAGGGTGAGAGTTGGCGCAGGGTTGTGAGCTAAGCACAACATAGGGATAACCAACAGCTGCCTCTTCTCCCGACTCTCACCACTCCCTCCATACCAGGGTCTCTGAGCAGGCCAGCACACTGCCTGCAGCACGCTCCAACGAATCACACACAAGCTTGTCCCTGGGCCCCACACACACATCGCTACGGACCGCTGCCCCCACAGATGTATAGCACGTAGAATCACGTGGTCAATGGCTACAACCACGTGCTTACACACACTGATTAACTCTGCACACAAGCTGGACTCAGATGTGGAAACCATATCTGAATCACGCTGTTTTGGTCTATTCTCTTCTCTTAATGTCAATCCACAGAGGAGGATCCACAAAGCACCTCATGATTAACGAGGTGACATTGGCCATAGCCAAGGGCTAATTAGGTCTACTGTAAACACACAAGCACAGAGCTGGAAGGGGCTTCGACAATTTATCTCTTCTATCAACACTTATCTCTAGGATTTTTAGAAGTGGCATGTCTCAATCTCCCCACCAATTTCAGAAAAGTTGCTAAGATGTTATCTCTGATCAGTCATGCAAATATAACTCCTACGGGGGTCCTACAAGCAGTTTCTGGTATCACACAGATGTGACTTTGAAATGTGCCTTCCCTGCTAACTTTAGGATTTTGGAGAGTTACTAAGCATTGCCAATCCTAATTCTTTGTCTAAAAATATTAGCATCATATACTTATCAAAGCTTTTTTTTTTTTTTTTAAGTTGAAAGGCAGAGTTATAGAACAAAAGAGGAAGAGAGAGAGAGAGAGAGAGAGAGAGAGAGGGAGGTCGGTCTTCCATCCGCTGGTTCACTCCCCAGATGGCTGCAATGGCCGGGGCTGGGCCAAGCCAAAGTCAGGAGTCAGGAGCCTCTGCCAGGTCTCCCACGTGTAGAATCCCAAGGACTTGGGCCATCCTCTGCTGCTTTCCCATGCTCATTAGCAGAGAGCTGGATCAGAGGTGGAGCAGTGGGGACTTGAACTGGCGCCCGTATGGGATGCTAGTACTGTAGGCAGCGGCTTAAGCCACTAACCCACAGTGCCAAGCCCTTGTCAGAGTCCTCTGAGAGGACCAAATAAGAGAACGCATTTCATGCTCCCATCACTCTAGCAAGCCTGTACTAAGTCACCAATAAAAAGTACCCTGCTTAGTGCCCTCTCTCCCTGCCCCAACACCACCCTGTGTGAACCATCCCTGGTTCTCTTCTTTATCCTTCTACCTAGAACATGACATAAATCCCTCTGCCAGGAGCCTCCGGACTTGATCCTGCGACAGTCCCACGGCATGGCCAGCGATGTGCAACACAGTCTCGCTCCATGCTTCTTCCCTCCCTCGTTGTCCACCACACATCCACGACTCACTTGCACTTTGGTTTCTACATACCTTTTGTTTTTATGCTATGAACATCATCTGAAAACAACAACTTCTCCTCATCTCCTCCTGGTCTGTGAAGGTCAACCCCAAACATTTGCATCAAAGCTGTGTGGTTTTCCTATTGACATCGCCCATAAGAATTGATTCTTGTACTCAAACCCACTATACAGATTCACTCATTATTCCACTTGCCAAGTGACATCACTCTTTATGAACTTAATTCACCCAGTGCAAGTCCAAGAGCGAAGATACTGGTGTTGGTATACCGTTTTAGCACAACAGAGCTTAGTGCTTAGAAGTCGTCAATGTCTGTGAATTAGAAGAAGTTCAAGGGGAGATTAGGAAACCCAGCTCCCCCATCAGGCATCTTAGGTTTGAGCCCCTACACTGCCCTTGCCAGCTGGGTGAGCTGGGCATGCTACTCCACTTCCCTGAGGCCCAGCATTCCATTCTGGAACTAGGATATTATTGTACTGTCCCTATCGGTTGCTGTGAAGATCAGGATATTGAATTCTCTACATGCATCATCTCACACTGACTAGCATGCAAGGATTAACACGTATCTGCTGTCACATTATAATGAAAATTGGAACCTTTAAGCCCTCTCATACTCTGTTGAGAAATGGGCCAATCCTCTCTGCTGAAGACTGCTTGTTAGTGCTCAGAGGTTGAAGCCTTAGAACCAATCAACTTTATGAAACACAAGAAGAGAACAGGAAAAAAGAGAACAAGGAACTGCGCACACACAGCTGTCCCGGCTGTGGTGCCGACTAGAGACCCAGTGAAGAACTGGGTACAAAATTCCACAGTGTTTACAGCCAAGGACTAGGCCACGCTCAGCATCCGACTGTGAATCTCCTTTAAAACAAGTATGTGTGATGCCTATGTTGATTTTCCCATCTATGAAATCCAGAGGCGTCATGTTCCCCTGAACCATGGTGATCCATGCTTTCATTAGCTGCTTGCCATGAGGTTAAACTAAGCGGAAGATAGAAATGACTTTTCCTAATCAAAGTCATAAAGTCAAGTGGCTGAAAACAGCCCTCTACACTGCATTTATGTGAAACAGAAAAATAGGACCCGAACGGTAGCCTGGTTGCCCATAACCTTCTAATACAGGCAATAAATCTTTCCACCAAGGCCAAACAAGTCACAGACGTGGTTACACAGCTCAAGCCTATAACGGTAGATCGCTGAATTCCTTATTTCATCCAATCATTTTGAAGTATACAAAGATGAATGAGTAGAGAGTCTCCCTTTTAAAGGACCACGCCAGCCTCCCATCGCACACACAATTTCCCCCAGGTCTTGAGAAGACGTCAGGAAGGAAACAGCCACTAATGACTGAGCAAACACTAAGACCTTCCAGGTGCTCTGTCTCGGGTTAACTTGCACAAGAAGGACACCGCATGAAGAGCATCAGCTCACAGGTGGTGAGCCACTGGGCTGCCTCCCTCCTTTTGAACAGCTTTTAGATTCCAGAACGGATTATCCAGCCACCCAAAGAGAGGCCAAATACAAGGTAACCAGGTCTCCAGAGCAGGTTCTCTCACTCAGTTAATGAGGAGCCATGTGGTTTGGAAGCAACGTGTAGAGTTACAGAATGTTAAGCAAGAAATTCATGATTGTATCCCACCATGCAACAACAGGCCCAAGCAGCGGACTCCAGGAATGTTCCTTGAGACTGTGTTTGTACACGTCAGGAAACACAACAGGGTATTCAAAGTACTCTGCTCCTTACAGCTCTCTGTCCTGAGAATGCGAATAACAATGAGAAATGGCTTCACACAAAAACAGACCCCTCCCCAGAGATCCAAGGGATCCCAAGAATCCCACTCCATGGACTAGCCCAGGTTCCCTTGTAAAACTATTTCTAGCATCTAGGAGACAGGAATGCTCTCTTGCCACCTTCCAAGTCAGCATCCTTCTAAAGTGTAAGCAGTATTCGAAGTCCAGTATCTGGAAGTCTCGAGACAACACATCTCCACTGACTGAACGATAAACGATCAAGGAGGCTCTGTATCCTGAAAGAGCTGATTCATTCACAAGAGGAAAACCCTGGGCTCAGTGACGTCCGATCTGCAAGGCACCTTTGCCTGTGAGTAAAGTAAGAGCACCTGCAGCCCCTCGGGGGCTACAACAGAGGCGGCGCTGACAGACGTGTGCCTAGGCCAGAGGGCATCGCGCTGCTGCTGTCACACTGAGTTTCTGTGACCCTCTAACAGAGGGGACTTCAAGTAGCTAGGCACGACTGGCTTCCTTTACATGCATTAAACCCTGCTTTTGAATCAGCCATGGGGAAGATGTGTGTAGGTCGAAAGTGTCTGCAGCAGAGGTCACCAACTCCCCCATGGGAAGCAGGCTCTGCCAAGTGCTTCCTCCATAACTGCACGAGAGTCCAGCAAGGCAAGGCACGCGCTGGCCAGCACAAATGACCAAAACTGGTCAATATCCGAGGGCTCTCTTGACCCAGCAGGAAGAAAGCATTTGGGATTTCCAATCCCCCATGAATGACAATGCTACGACATGTCCACTGCCTGATGTGGTCAGAGAAATAGGATAGGACTTGTTAGAAGCAGCAGAGCGTGTTAACAAGGAGTCACTCAAGACCTCCACATCAACAACAGCAGGATCTGTCCAAACACAAAAGCTTTCCTAATGACAAAGAGTCCAGCAGAAGGATTGGTGTTGATATGTTAAATCAAGACAACCTGGGCTTTTAAAAGGTTACCCAGTAGTAACAGTCTCCTAAAGACCCTACCCTAGACGGAGGGTTCAAAATTTCCTCCCTTCCCACTGAGAACTGCTGCTCCAGACAAATCACAATCTCAAAACAGACACATCGCATGAACTGAACATAAAAAGAGAGCCTTCTGATGGCATTTTCCACATTTCAATTTTCTTTGCTTACTATGCTAATGTGCTCTCACAGACAGTGCCACACATACTAATCAAAACTTCACTCTGCATCGCAACAACACACAGTATCACCACACGGCAAACGTGGGTTTCACTCAGCAGTTAAATGATGGCAACCAGATAACCGTGCTTCTGTTGCCACAGTAACGACCAGCACGGGTTGCTAAAAGAAATGTACACTGCTGAAATTTATAAGCAAAGTCTTCATCTAATAACCATCTCCAAAACCTGAGCAGGAACCATAAGCCTCCCAGAGAAGCATATCTTGGTCCCACGCTTTAGCTACCTGGCTGCTTTGTTTAGCTTTGCAGATGGCAACAGATTACAAACCAAGCGTGCACCTGTGAACAGAGGCGGCTCTTCATAGCCTCCAGCAACGAAGAATAGAAAGAAAACCTTCTCAGTCCCCACTTAGCCCCTGTGTCTCTTCCAAGATCAGACGAGATCGGGCGCGTTCAGGGTGGTATGGCCGTAGACAGCCCCCGCATCTCTTCAACACTTGCTACCAAGTCCATGAGCCATTTCTTCCCCATGCCTTTAAGGTGTGGGTGATAAGCACCCAGCAAGGAAGTCCCTTGATAAAAGAGGAAGAGCGTTTACAGTTCCCCCTAGCTACCACCACCACTGTCACCACACCACCACCAGAACCATCACCACCATTACCACCACCATCATTTACACCACGGCCATCATCAGCACCTCCACTCCCATTTCATCACCATCACAGCACCCCACAGTAGCTGCACGTGCCCCCCGACCCAACGGCACTGAATCCTCTGACCCTGTACTGGGCTCCGGCACTACCAATCCCAGCTTTGAACAGAAGCCCACACAACTGCTGCAACCCAAGTTTCTTAACTACGTGACACTTTTGTGCTTCCGGAATCTCTACATGTAGAACTCAGTCAAGTTGTTCCTTTGACCTGATGTCCCATCCACACAAATTCCTGGGTTACCAATTTATTGAGTCAGGTTTTAAACACACTGGACATGCAGGAAATACTGAAACTGCCTACAAATTACAGTAATCTCCTCCATGTTCTTACAAACCAAGTTTCCCAAAGGATGAGTAGGGATTTACTTAATTCCTACATGGTGCTTAATAGATGCCAGGCATGACTCTGTTCTATAAGTATAAACTAATTTCCTCGTAACACAAAAAGTAGGTGACTATTAACATCACTCTCACTTTATAGACGAGGAAAATGAGGTCTGGGGACATGGAGAAGCATGAAGGAGAGAAGGAAGAGAGGGAGGGAATGAAAGAGAGAGGGTGACGGAGGAGGGAGAGGGAGGGGAAAGGAGGAGGAGGAGGAAGACAAGAAGAAAGGAGAAGGAGGGAGGGAGGGAAAGAAAGGGAGAGAGAGAGATGTGAACTCTCAGTTGTCTTTCCTACTTCTCTGAGCCACGCCCCTAGATGGCTACTCTAAATCCAAAACACTTACAAAGTAAAATGCAAATTTCAATTAAATCTTTAAAATAAACGCCATAGAGTCAGAAGAGCTCCAGGAACCTTTAGTCTGATTTGCAACCTCTCACCTAACCATGAAACCCTAATTCCAGAAGCTTGGAGCCCAGCCCTCCCTCCCCAGGCATTATTTTGAACAAAATCGGGGGCCATTTCAAGCACGGCTTGAAAACCACCGATTCTACTGCAACCTTCTCTTTTCACACACATGGAAACCGAGGCCTCGAGGGGAGAAGCCACGTGCCTGGCAGAGCCACAGGACCAGCTGGAAGTGGAGCTGACACTCAACCTGGAGTCTCTGTGTGGACTTGTCCACTAGCTGCCCTTCCATGATCCCTTGGCACCCTGGTTTTGCATACAAAGAGTGGTTTCTCATCTGTCCGTTAAGAAGTGCGGCTGACAACACATGAAAATGACTCCTCGAGAAAGCCAAGCCAGTCACGCAGCACATCTGATTCCATGACCCCAGGGACAATTTGGGATCCAGGTGACACCTGGATTCATCAGTGCCGACCAAAGCCCTCCCCAGGCACACCTGCTCAACTGAGTGACTGGCCCAGGTTGGGCGAAAGCTTGGGACAACCACTTTAGGGCCTGGATACTGAGGCTCAGGGCTGGGCAAGAACTGAGACCCCGCGGCCCTCCATCTCTCCCTGTGTGCTCTGGGGCACACCCCCAGTCCCAGCGCTGGCTCTCGTTCTCTCCCTCTCTCTTTCCATCTCTCTCCTTTAAGAGATGATTAAATGCATCTGGCTACAGAGCAGCTCAGCCCTGATGCATTACAATGGGGCTGTGTCAGGATCAGGAAGGAGCAGGTGATACCACACGAAGCTCCCCAAACCAAATCCACCAGGCTTTCCAAAGGGCTTCGAAAACCTGTGCTTTCAACAGACGAATGCATCCCTTTGGGTCACCAGTTTCCGAATTCAGACAGCCCTGCCGAGTAGCGACAATGGCCCCAGGGACTGGGTTGCCACCACATCCATGAGAGACGTGGATTGAGTCCCTGGCACCCAGCTTTGAGCCCAACCAGTTGTGGGTATTTGGGAACTGAATCACCAGGTGGAGGGACTTGCTCACACTCTCATAATTAAAAAAATTTTTTTAAAAAATAGGTGTGATATATTCTCCTTTACTTTCTATTCAGGCACAATTCAATCCTACTTTAAAACAATTATGTAACTCCCTGTGAAAATACCCATAAAAATACTTAGCTGAGAAAAACAAATTCAGTTTTGCTTTTGGTTTCTTGATTTTGGAGCTGGTGCTGTGGCATAGCAGGTTAAGCTACCACCTGCAATGTCAGCATCCCACATGGGCACAGGTTCAAGTCCCAGCTGCTCCACTTATGATCCCGCTCCCTGCCAGTGAGCCTGCGAAGGCAACAGAGGATGGCCCAAGTGCTTGGGCCCCTGCTCCCACATGGGAGACCTGGAAGAAGTTCCTGGCCCTGGCTTCAGCTTGGCCCGGCCCTAGCCATTTAGAAAGTGAAGCAGCAGATGGAAGACCTCCCTCTCTCTCTGTAACTCTGCATTCAAATAGATAAAATAAGTATTTTTAAAAATACAGCTCCAAAAAAATTTTTAAATAAAAATAAAAATACAACTCAATTAAAAGCTAATGCTAGAAATTTTATTTTCTACTATCTTTATTTTATTAAATAAAAGAAAGTAGGTGAATAACAGATTCACATGCACCTCCATCTATAATAACCAGACAAAAGAAACCATCTGATCTTGTCGGACTACTATTAAGAAAGTAAAAAATTACATCATCATGATGCACTCTAGAAGGATATCAGGATCGCATTAAGAATATGATATGTGGAGTAGATTTTCTTTGGTGTTACATAAGCTCCAGAGAACCGGGTCCTTTCCTGATTCACCTTTCTAAATCATTCCGCTCCACTTCCTGGGGCTGTTTTACTGTCTGATTTCCCTGGGCGTTCAGCAGTCAATCTTGCCAGGCTTGGGATTTTCATTGCATTTGTCTTTAATCTTGCAGAAGCATCAAGGCTACTCTTTCACCAATTATAAATAAGTAAATAAAACAATCTGCAAGTAAGACACAGCCGAGCTGCCAGCATTGCCACGCAGCCTGTTCTCTACCTACTCATTATATTTATTCTTGAATAACAGCAAATCACAGTTCCCATCTGGACTCTTTCTTTCAAAAAGACTTTTCTCATCTCATCCTGTGATAACTTGAAAAACTATATACACTATGTAACCGTAAATAAAATAGCTCACAACAACACTCTGAAACTTGCTTTCAACATTCACGCATACTAAGCCAGTTATTCCAGTCCAACACCACCGCCCCCACAACAAAAAATGCAGGTCGATGACTGCAGGGTAGAAAGGTAGAAATCAAACTCCGCCACGCCACGGACAAATCTCCAGGGCTCTGGAGTTGTCTTCTTAACTGGACACCACCGAGCTCAGGCACTGGGTTAAAGCAGACGGCTGCAAGGCAAGCTTTGCGTGTGTGTTCTACGCCTTAACCATGCTGCCTGAATTCAGGCGCTTCAAGCCATGAAACTCAACCCACACTCTCACAACACAAACTTCCCGAGGAAGCGGAAGTACACACCCGGCCACGTGCCCAGAAGGCACCTGCGTGTCACTCACACAGTCCCAAATCAGCTCGGGCTCAGCATCTCTGACGTCATCCATTCACTGAAAACCAAACGGCATCGCTAGGGCATCTCGCCCACTGCCAGGAGGATGGCTCATCACTGGTTCAAGGAACGAAAGCAGTTACCAACCAGGAAGGAATGGGAAGAGAAGAAAAAAGGATGAATCCTGCTACCAGCACACAGGAAGACCGACACTGAATGTGTGGCCATGACTAGAACGTATCCCCACTTACAGCAGGGCACACGGAGACTGGCTAAGGCCAAGCACTTGCTGTGACTGTCAGCCAGGACTTTACCTCGAGCGTCTACACTGGATCCATGCAGGATGGTCTCCTGCAGGAGGGGCTGTCCTGTCCCCCTAAATGAGGAACAGAAACTCCCCCATGCTGGGGATTCCAGGTGCCCCTCCCTCACTCCTCTCCTGCTTGTCCTAGTTAAGTCTATAGAAGTCTTTCTGCAAAAATCAAGTAGAGTCCCTCACCTCCCAGATTATCCTGCTACTTAGAGCCTATCCATGAAGATCTTTGGAAGCGTTATCTTGATCACTGCATTACACTCTTTAGACTACAGAGGTATATATCAAATAAAAAGCATCGAATTGCTTTCACTGTGATGCCTCTACCACATTTTTCTACATCAAACAGTTTCCAATTCTATTATTTTTTTCCTAGAAAGAGGCTTCATTACCATAGCAATGCACTCGCAAATGGTCCATCAGCAGTCCATGGTGCTTCACCTGTAACCTCTACCAATGCATACAACCCACGCAGATGGGCACTGCCAAGGGGCAAAAAAAAAACCTGCACCCCCAGGTAGGGTATGAGGTCAGGCATTGGGCTCCTCTGAGTCAAGAATGCAGGAGACACTGGAAATGACGGGCATTTCCCAGTGAAATGGGGAATAAAATTATCCACTGACACTACAGTGGAAAATAACATTTTTGAAATTGCCCTGAGAAATCCCTGGGAAAGCAGTAAGGGCGTCACTTACCACCCAACACCTCTGAAGACAAGGTGCCATATGCATATAGAGTCAACTAGGAAGACTAAGGAGATCAGGAGGAAAATAGAACTCAGTTGGCTCTGGAAGCCTTAGACAGAAACAGCAAGGTTTAAAGGGCACACTCACAGCAGTAGTCAGGGCGGCACACACTGATAACCTGGGACAAAGCCGTGTGGCACGTGCCAGTGGGACTTTCCAAAGGAAGGAGCTTAATCCTCAAAGTCCTGTGCATTGAAGGAGTGGCAGAGCCTGCAGGGCTGTGTGGCTGACAGGGGGTAGGGGAGAGGAGGTTAGAGCAGAGGGGAGGAATGAATGCTGGAAGTCACTGAGTTAAGTGGAGAATAAATCACTATGTATTCAGTCTGGTGAGTGCCCACAGCTACAGACTCACGAAAGCAATGTTTCCCAACGTTCTTGTTACATATGGGCAACAAAAGCTGTTTATGTTTAATAGAAGTCAGATTTAATAGCCACGATAATTTTAATGCTTCTGAAATATTCCTGTTTCCTGAAACTCCCTGACAACAAAGCCTTCGCAAGTTCATTGGTCCTTTTGATGAATTCCACTGAACACAAACAAGATGTGTATCCAAATAGGTATGTACAATCTCTGAAACTCAAAGATGAAACTCATCTGAAAAAAGCTGGGAGAGAAAATTCTCTAACATTTTTTCTTTCTAGGAGTACCTGATTCCTAATTATCATCTCTCGTGTTTCTTGCTTAACCGGGTGAGAGCTAAAAGGACACCCAGCTCTTTGTCACTGTAAAATGAAAATTTATTATGCAATTATTTTAGGAAAACACATATTACATGCATAAACAGATGTTATTATCATCATATTTCATTTTAATAATATTTGGGGCTTTAAAGGACACCACTGAACAACACTAATTTTGCTCAAAATAAATGAAGCATAATATATGGAAAACTACTCAGCTGTATTCAAGATCTAGCAACTCAACGACATGTAAAAAGAAATCACTTTCATCTAAGATAACTGTTTTTCTCTAGCTCTTTCAACTGATGGCTATGCAATATAGTTTCACTAAATGAGCGTGGATGCTGCTTGGATTAAATTTGATGACACAGATCTGTATTCAGCACGCTAAATATCACAAACCTTGCATAAATATCAACAGATGAAAATGGGTCCATTTTCAAATGGGTAGGAGTCACTGGCTCAAGTGATGTTTCTACTTTCTACCAATCATTACAGGAAAACATTGGTAACACTCTCTACTAGAAATCTTCATACAAATGCAATAAGACACTTATCCAAAACCTTAGCAAAACCTGCCAGATGCAATCATCACAAGAAAATACCAGCCACAGACATCATTCACAATCAAGAGAAGCAAAATGTTAGTCATTTTCCCCAGTGCTACAGCATGAGCTGTTGAGTTAGCAGAGACGGGAATGAATCCCAGCTTCGTAATTCTACCTCTGGAAAATTGTCTCTCAGCTGTATCTACTACACAGAATCAAGATCCCCTTACCTTACAGAGTTCCTATCACGACTAAAATAAAATACCCAGGACTGTTCCTACATGTTGCAGGCCCATTATAAATAGTATGCATTTCATAGATGATTGCTCTATAATCATTTCACATTTCAGGATACGTCTCAGTTTCCATAAGACTTGGACCTTCCCAAAGTCCAGGATACGTGACCCAGAAGAAAGGGATGATCTGATCAGCCCAAGACAGGATGGATGTTTAAGCAGAGAGACATCTGACTCCGATTAATCAGAGCACAGCGTATTTCCAAGACATCAACTATGACCACATGATTCCTGGGTGTAGCTACCACCAAGACACAGCTTTGCAAACACTGCCCCTTTTAAGGATTCCATTCCAGAAAGCAGAAAAGCCTTGGGCCAGAGTGAAAGAAGGCTTGCACCATGCCCCAGGACTGACCTGCGCAGCCTCTGGGCCGCTCAGCTGTAAGATGGCATTCTCCTTGCTAAGGCAGCGACTGAACACAGACACGTGTAAGGTGTGCTGGGCCCCAGCGGGGTCTCGGAAGTAAAGCGATAGGCCAAGGAAGGAAGGAAACCAAGGGCTCCGCCACATGCCAGAGGACAGTTAATTCCAAAGAGGGCGTAAGGGAGCCTGATGCAGCTCTATGCCTGTGCTGGAAGACCAAGATTAGCGTTCCCTTTAACACTCGTCATATTAAATTCAGCCCTCTTCCAATTTTCTCATCCTTTTTTTTTTTTCTTTCAGGTTTGGCAAAGTGTCAAGAGGCAATAAAGAGAAAAAGTACTTCCAGATGGTTCGTCTAAGCAAATTAGGTGGGATTTTCCTTCAAATAAAATGGAAAATATATGCAAGACAGGCCCGGCGGGACACCTATGAAATCAGAGTGACTTCTGTCTGCCTCGCTGTAATTCACTCACTCACTGATGGCCTCGCGCTCCTTCCAAGGGTTTCCCACGTTCACGTAACGTGTGGCAAGGCCACAAGTCTCTCACTTAGCTGAGAGACACAGACTGTGGGAGCGTCCACTGCTGGACAACTTTCTTCATCGGGACATGCTCAGAAAGCAGCGCAGCATGAAACAGGGAAAGTTTAACAACTGTGCTCCCAAAAGCAGCTTTAACCTACCCTCTGCTCCAGGAACTCTGAGTTTCAGAGGAAAAACCAAGAACACTTTTCCCTCATTATTCCAAGGACACTTTTCACACTAACACTTGGCTATTGTGGAGAGACGCTGGGAAAAGAAGACAGGCAAAGGAAAGAACAGCAGGGGATCATTGGGCCACACATTAACTCTCAAAACTCTTTTGGAAAAATTTCTAATTCCTCCACCGCTCATCAACAGATTGGATCTGTTCCATTCTTTGACCTTAAAACCCATTGGTACTTAAGTGAGAGGGGAAAGTGTTGGGGTGGGGGTCAAGGAAGATAGACGCTAACTGGGGGCAGCGTGTCACCCGCTCTCACCCATGCTGACCATGGTAAGTGTGAGATGAACCCCAAAGTCATCACCCATCGAAAGTCAGGTCCCGCACGTCCCAGCAATCGCATCTCGGTGGAGGTGTGTGTTGTGGGAGGCAGAGAAAGCAGTCTTGCTCACGCCAGGACCCGCTAGCCTCACTTCCATCCCAGGGCTCTCTCGCCCACACACTAGGTGCAAGCTACTGCTCTAAGGTCAGGAATACGGTTAAAGTCACCACGAAAATGCAACACACCAAGTCCGAGAGCTTCCTTTCCAAGATTTATGGCTACAGAAGCGCACACCCAGTGCCTTTTAATTTAGTAAGGTGCATTTAGGCAAGCAGTTCAAAACCACAGGTGACTTTTACTCCCCTTCTACAGGAATATTTAGCACTGTCTGGGGACAGTTTTGACTGTCACAGCCCAAGGATGCTACTGGTATCCAGTGGGCAGAGGCCAGGAGCTAACAAATACCCTACAGCCCCCCAAAATGGAGAAACTACCCAACCCAAAAGGGCAGGTGTGCCAAGGCTGAAAGCCTCCAGACTTAAGAAAAGAGCAACCGAGGTCACACCACGCACGGTGAGCAGGAAGGAAACTGCTCCGGCCAGAATCTCTGCGCGTGCAAGCGTTTTTCAGCTACTAAAATAGGAAGCCTGGACAGGCGCTGGACAGCATTCTAACGACTTTTTATATCCCATGCAGAGTCTCTCTTTATCTTACCAGGCAAAAAATAAGAGAGGTTAATTTATAGTCTGCATTTGAATTCCCCACGGTATTATTTTAGCATGCTGCTGCTTGGACGTTTCACGCATAAGAATTTTCACTACAAGAAATACAACATCGGGGCTATAATTCAGGGGCAACTGCCCATCAAAGACTATTTGAACATTACCTGCTACAGCTTCTAATTAAATATATGATCCCTCTGGACTCCGCCTACAGACTGCACTGGCCACTCCTCCTTATGCACAGCACCTGCCTTGCTACAACTTTTTGCTTAATTTCTCACCTCAATCAGTATTTGCCAAGCCTCCCACAGGATCCCAGTTTGTGCATTTTTCTTCCCAACTACCCATATAATCTGACACCTGACAGACAGGGCCCAGTTACCCCTTGCCTCTGTGTGCAACATGCAAAGCAGGAACCGGCCACCACACCTAGTAGATTTTAAAGTCACAGACACAAGCGTGGTCACGAAGCTCAATGCACCTGCTTCCATGCTTACAGTCCTTGCTCTTGAGACATGCCCCCTCCCCCTCTGTGCCGTCTCTTTGCCACCACAGCCCCTCAGGTCCTCACTCCTTTGCCCACCAGCCATTCTTTGTGATCATCCCACTGCTCACCAAGTTCAGGCTGCGGGAGACCACCCATGGAGGGGTTTAAACCCAGCAATGGATTTTTTTTTTTTTTTTTTTTTGAGAGGCAGAGTGGACAGTGAGAGAGAGAGAGAGACAGAGAGAAAGGTCTTCCTTTGCCGCTGGTTCACCCTCCAATGGCCGCCACGGCCGGCGCACCGCGCTGATCCGATGGCAGGAGCCAGGTACTTCTCCTGGTCTCCCATGGGGTGCAGGGCCCAAGCACCTGGGCCATCCTCCACTGCACTCCCTGGCCACAGCAGAGAGCTGGCCTGGAAGAGGGGCAACCGGGACAGAATACGGCGCCCCGACCGGGACTAGAACCCGGTGTGCCAGCGCCGCAAGGTGGAGGATTAGCCTAGTGAGCCGCGGCACCGGCCCAGCAATGGATCTCACACAGCTGCAGAGGCTGCACCATCCAAGGTCAAGGCAGAGCAGTGGCTGGTGAAGACCGGCTTCCTGGGTGGGAGGTGGTCACACCTCCGTGTGTCCTTACAGGGTGGACATCTCATCAGGGCACTGATGCCACCATGGGAGCCCCACCATACTGACCTGATCAGCTCACAATACCCCCATCTCCTGGTTCTATCGAATTGGGTAGAAGGATTTCATCACTGGACGTTTCCATGGCAACACTTCCTCCATGCGGGACAGACAGTAAGGACCCGCGCTCCGTGTCCCGAGCCGCTGACGAGGTTTCGGCTGTAACTCAGGGCCCCTCTGTGGACTGCAGTCAAAACCTCGCCATTGGCTGACAATTGCTGCCACCCCACAAGACGGCCCTTCCTCCTCCTCCACAGCTGCCAACACCTGCCTTCCGCAGCTCACAAATGCAGAGAGCACGCCGAGCCCCAAGCGCCTGAAGGAGTCACCCTGGCCCACGTGTGCTACGATAGCAGAGCAGTAACACTGGACCAAACACGCCCCAATGCTGAGGAGGACAGGCCCCGGGGCAGCACGTGCCCAGAGGCACCTGTCAGCCCCAAGCAGGGCTCAGACGAAAAACAACACGTGAAACGTGCAGGACACAGCGCAGGAATGTGTCCTGACCAGGGCGTGTGCCCCTCGGGGGCGGAAGGGCAGACGTAGAGGCCCGGGAGCACACAGCGTCGCAGGCAGCGGGACGCCAGGCTGCCCTCTGAGCTCGGGCCAGCAGGGCGAGGTGAGGACACTCGCACACTGACCCCCAGCCGCTGCCTCTCCTGAGTCCGGATCTGAAACGTGCACACCCCTGAGCAACTTCTTCCGGCAGCGTCCAGATGGAAGGAATCGCAGAGGGACCTGGGCAGAGGCCTTCTCTCCCATGGCTGACAAGCACACGCAAGCACACGCAAGCACACAGCGGGTTTAACATTTCAGGAAGAACACCCAATGGCTCTGCTCACTTGGCGGTGCAGCTCTGCTCTCTCTCGATACGCCATGCTACACCCCAACAAAATCAACACCTAACTAGCAAAACAAATCACCTGCCTACGAGGAAATGAAGAATAGCTTAGGATTGCTGGTGAGGCTGCAGAGAGAGAAGTCACATCATCGGACGTGCATTCCAAAACCCTATTGGTACATCTGCAGCCAGAACACTGCACAGGGATGTGCTCTGTGGGCCCAGGGCAGCCACTCTGGCTCCAGAAGGGCCTTGCTTCCGGGGCCACATCCTTGCTCCCTTGTGTTACACAGGAGACAGAGCGTTCCACCAAGAGCCGCACAGAGTGCCCAGGAGGTTTGCAACCCTGACCCAGAGGGCCTGCTGGGACTCACTGAAGCTTCAGGACGTCGGTGCCCGCACCTCTGACCAGCAGGTGAGCACCGGGGGCGGCGTCAGATTCTATCTTTCTGTTTATACCACACCTTTTGCACAAAGGGCTAGGCATCCACTATTATAATTTACTTTAATTATAGTACTTGTCCCGACCCATAATCACAAGAAAATCATGGCAGCTGCCTGCAGAGGAGAGGAAAATGAGACATGGGAGAACTCCTGACTTGCCCAGCTTACTCAGGGGGATATTAAACACCTCACAGCAGACACCTAGGGGCGCACTGGAGGGTTTCTAACGCCCTGCTGGTGATGCCCACCTCCTAAGAAGGGCACTTTCCGGGGAGAATGAACCTTGGCAGAAACAAGATTCCCAAAGTAAGGATGCAACAGCTCGGGGCCACGGGAGAACCTGCGTCCAGCCCTTCCAGGGAACAGGGAGCCTCCTGGACACTCTTCCTGGTAATCAAACCTCCTCTACAACAACGGGGTCAGGATCCAGGGCCCCAGTTTCCCGAATCTTTACACTTTCCAAGTTCACTGCCTACGGCAGGGCCATCTATTCAAGCTCACTCTCTCCCTACCCACAAACCCAGTGGTTAGCGCCCAGTGGACACCACTCTAGAACTTTCTCCCTGCTCAAGCAGTGACATAGAAACAGATGGCGAGAAACAAAAGCGTAGTTATTGGATTTGATTTTTCCCAAGCATCTTCCAGGGTGCTTGTTATCACCGCACTATATTTTTATCAGATTATTACTCTTGTTGACAATAAAGAGATGTTCTATGATGTTGTAATCCCCAAAATAGAATAAAATGAAATAAATTAATCTTCTCCCTCACTGGCCCCATCTGCTAGCCTGGATCTGCTGTAAAATCAGATCTGAAGCCATACTATGGTAGAGCTTTTGCATAGGCAGCTCACGAAATCATTACAAGGCCTGATCAGTTGGGGCAAACCCTACCTTTCACTTTCACTGCCCTCGGCGAGCTCCAGGTCCTTCCTTTAATACTGTGTTATCTGAGACCAGTGTAGTGCCACAGTGCATTAAGCTGCCATTGGGGTGCCCATATGCCATACTGGAGGGCCAGTCTGTATCCTGGCCATTCCACTTTCAATCCAGTTCCCGGGTAATTGGCTGGGAAGGCGGCAGAGGACGGCCCAAGTATCTGGATCCCTTCCACCCAGCTGGGGGATCTAGAAAGAGTTCCTGGTTCCTGGCTTCTACCTGGCTCAGCTTAGGTTGCTCCCAGCATTGGGGACTAAACTATAGCTGGAAGATCTCCATCTCCCTCTGTCTCTACCTGTTTTTTCATCACTCTGCCTTCTTGAATAACTGAATAAATATTTTTTTTTAAAAAAAGAAGGTATTATCTTATTACTATCACGCAGCAGAAATGAGAAAACATAGAATTTTAAAAATCAGGCTGAGTGCCACTCAAGGCACTTAAGGTTATCATCTGACCTACTCACTTGATTTGTTCCAATTAATTCTCAATTTCTCAGCAACCATGAGTTCTTTTTTAAAGACCTTATTTATTTGTTTGAGAGATAGAGTTACAGACCGAGAGAGGGAGAGACAGAGAGAAAGGTCTTCCATCTGCTGGTTTACTCCCCAAAGGGTTGCAAGGGCCAGACCCGGGCCAATCCGAAGCCAGGAGCTTCTTCCAGGTCTCCCACTTGGGTGCAGGGGCCCAAATACTTGGGCCATCTTCTACTGCTTTCCCAAGCCATAGCAGAGAGCTGGGGAGAGGAGCAGCCGGGACACAAACAGGCACCTATATGGGACGCCAGTGCTGTAAGCAGAGTTCTAGCCCACTATGCCAAGGCACCAACCGCAGCAGTCATGAATGTTAGGAATGAGATTCTGTGCAATACTTGCAAACTGCTTTCTGTAATTGCATACCACCAATGAGATGATCGACTAGAAAAACATAACTCAGCCCTTGGCCGTCTGTTACTCCTAAGCCCCTTGTTTGAACACGTCCGTGATCACCATGCATGACTTACAAACTGTGTACGTGTGTGTGCACGTGTGTGTGTGTGTGTGTGTGTGTGTCCATTCTTTTCTCAACTTCCTCGTGTGGATTCTGGAAGCTCACAATGCTTTACATCTCAACACCCAGCCCTAAGTCCTGATTTAGTGCCGAATCCATCAGCCTTGGGGAATTTTAGTGGACGGTGACAGATCTTGTTTTCACTAACTATGAGAAATGTGAGCCTTCAACTTGCATTAATAGACCCCATGCATTTCCCTTTGATAGCAAAGCAACCTTCCAAGCCACCGATAAAGCCCTGGTGATGTCCTGAGCTTCCCGGGTTTGATCTTCTTACAAAAGGTGTTAATAATGCAAGTGGGGTGAACTAGAATCCTCGCAGGAAACCAGGCTCCTGGCCCTGCATCACTAACTGCTGTGTCACATTAACATGTCACTGTGTCCATTCCCGTCACAGGGCAAATGCTCAGCGATTCACACAGTCCACAGGGATGCCCACGGCTGCCAGCCTGGCATTCTTCACATGCTGCAGTGACAAGGACACTCCGTGGGCCTCTGAAACACTGAGCCTTCCCACCCCAAGACCCCCAGGGAAAAGTGCAACAATTAAAAGAGCAGTGGGGGTGAGAAACAGCAGGGAAGACTTCTGATGTCAAAACGTATCTACTAGGCTGGCGCCGCGGCTCACTAGGCTAATCCTCCGCCTAGCGGCGCCGGCACACTGGGTTCTAGTCCCGGTCGGGGCACCGGATTCTGTCCCGGTTGCCCCTCTTCCAGGCCAGCTCTCTGCTGTGGCCAGGGAGTGCAGTGGAGGATGGCCCAGGTGCTTGGGCCCTGCACCCCATGGGAGACCAGGAGAAGCACCTGGCTCCTGCCATCGGATCAGCGAGGTGCGCCGGCCGCAGCGCGCCGGCCACGGCGGCCATTGGAGGGTGAACCAACGGCAAAGGAAGACCTTTCTCTCTGTCTCTCTCTCTCACTGTCCACTCTGCCTGTCAAAAAAAAAAAAAAAAAAAACGTATCTACTTGGGAACCAAGAAAGTTAGGAAAATCGTTAAAACGCATGCCTTACCTTGCCCAGTGCCTCCCCACACCCCAAGAAAAAAACCATGTAAGCCTCAACTGCTGACTGAGAGAAGAACACACATAAATACTGCAGAGAATCCACATCAAATTCTTCATCGTAAGAGTCTGACCTCGTTCCTTGTCGTCAGAATGTCAACTACGTTTCAAGCATGGAAAATATTGCCCTAAGATGTTGAAAGAAATCATTTTGGGACTTTTTGTCACATATAAACATGGCTTCTCTTTCTTAAAGATTATTATTCCTAATTTGAGAGTCAGAGAGACAGAGCCAGTGCCCATCAGCCACTTCACTTCCCAAAGGCTGTGGCCAGGGCCGGAGCCAGCCGCTGGGAACACAATCCTAGTCTCCCACGTGGGTGGCAGAGACACAGTTATGTAAGCCATCTCCACTGCCTCCCAGGAGCTGGAGCCATGAATTAAACCAAAGTACTCCAAAAACTGACAGGGGTCAGTTTTAAAAGCTAGGCTACACGTCCACTCTTAAGATCACTTCAGAAATATTAAAGTATCACCACAGCAAATAAAATATTATGAAGAGGTTTCCAACAGAGAGCATCACTCTACTGAAACAGTCCAGCACCATGATTCTGTCTGCGCCCTGTCCTCTGTGGTCTCCCAGAGTGAGCACCGTGATTCTGTCTGTGCACCTGTCCTTCATGGTCTCCCCAGAGTGAGCACCGTGATTCTGTCTGCGCCCCTGTCCTCTGTGGTCTCCCAGAGTGAGCACCGTGATTCTGTCTGCGCCCTGTCCTCTGTGGTCTCCCAGAGTGAGCACCGTGATTCTGCACCCCTGTCCTCTGTGGTCTCCCAGAGTGAGCACCGTGATCTGAGCACCTGTCCTCTGTGGTCTCCCAGAGTGAGCACCGTGATTCTGTCTGCACACCTGTCCTCTGTGGTCTCCCAGAGCGAGCACCAGTGATTCTGTCTGCGCCCCTGTCCTCTGTGGTCTCCCCAGAGTGAGCACCGTGATTCTGCACCCCTGTCCTCTGTGGTCTCCCAGAGTGAGCACCGTGATTCTGTCTGCGCCCCTGTCCTCTGTGGTCTCCCAGAGTGAGCACCGTGATTCTGTCTGCACACCTGTCCTCTGTGGTCTCCCAGAGTGAGCACCAGTGATTCTGTCTGTGCACCTGTCCTCTGTGGTCTCCCCAGAGCAAGCACTGTGATTCTGTCTGCGCCCCTGTCCTCTGTGGTCTCCCAGAGTGAGCACCGTGATTCTGTCTGCGCCCCTGTCCTCTGTGGTCTCCCAGAGTGAGCACCATGATTCTGTCTGTGCACCTGTCCTCTGTGGTCTCCCACAGTAAGCACCAGTGATTCTGTCTGCACCTGTCCTCTGTGGTCTCCCAGAGCGAGCACCAGTGATTCTGTCTGCACACCTGTCCTCTGTGGTCTCCCAGAGTGAGCACCAGTGATTCTGTCTGTGCACCTGTCCTCTGTGGTCTCCCAGAGTGAGCACCAGTGATTCTGTCTGCGCCCCTGTCCTCTGTGGTCTCCCAGAGTGAGCACCGTGATTCTGTCTGCACACCTGTCCTCTGTGGTCTCCCAGAGTGAGCACCAGTGATTCTGTCTGTGCACCTGTCCTCTGTGGTCTCCCCAGAGTGAGCACCGTGATTCTGTCTGCGCCCCTGTCCTCTGTGGTCTCCCAGAGTGAGCACCGTGATTCTGTCTGCACACCTGTCCTCTGTGGTCTCCCAGAGTGAGCACCATGATTCTGTCTGTGCACCTGTCCTCTGTGGTCTCCCACAGTAAGCACCAGTGATTCTGTCTGCACCTGTCCTCTGTGGTCTCCCAGAGTGAGCACCAGTGATTCTGTCTGCACCTGTCCTCTGTGGTCTCCCCAGAGTGAGCACCGTGATTGAACACCTCGTCCTCTATGGTCTCCCCAGAGTGAGGGGCCTGACTTACATACAAGCATTCACAAAATGTCAATGACTCCCAAACACTTAGAAGCTCTACTCACTCCCCAATAGTCCAGGCTCACATATATCACTTCCTACTCTCTGCTTAGCTAAGAAATGGAAGCTTTCAACTCAAATCAAAATCAAGACTACATCCAGATCCTGTTATCTCCCAAACCTCAACACCTCAGGGCTTCTCTGTCTCAGAAGGCTGGGTGCCATCCTCCATTCCCTTATGATAGCCGCACACAGGCTCTACCTATCAAAGGTTACATCCACCCCTCTCGTCCATCTCCACCCACACCACACGAGGTCATGCCACCATCTTGCCTTACCCAGTCGCCTGTGACAACCTTCTAGCTGAGCTTTCTGCTTCTTCCTGGCTTCCCCACAATCCATTCTCCCAACAGGGACCACGAGGACATAAATGATGATACAGAAACGCTAATAAATCCTCTCCCATTACTGCCTGAACAAAAGCCTCGCTTTCCCATAATAAACACTGAAGTTCCAAGTCCCAGCCTACGAGCCGTCCTGTGGTCCCGATTCACACCACTGTCACATGGTTCACCACACTGAAGCCACTCCAATGCTGCCTTCTATTCACTTTTTTTCATTTAATCCTATCTAATTTTAATTTTGTGCAGCACTTAGAATGGCATGGCATCTTTCTTACTTACTGTGAACATAAATAATGATTATCTTAACCACCAAAAATGTATGCGCAGGCTGGAGGTGTGGCACAGCCAGTTGGGCTGCTGTGGACAATCCTGGTGCCCCATGTTAGAGCTGCTGGCTCAGGTTCTTGCTACTCTGCTTCCATTCCAGCTTCCTGCTAGTGCGCCTGGGAAGGCAGTGAAGACGGCCCAAATACTGAGGCCCCTGCCATAGATGTGGGAGACCCAGATGGAGTTCTCGGCTCCTGGATTCAGCCTGGCTCAGAGCTGGCTGCTGTGGCCATTTGGAGAGTAAAATAGCAGACGGAAGATCTCTTTTCTCTCTGCTTCTCTGAGTGTGTGTGAGTGTGAGTGTGTGTGTGTGTGTTATCTCCTTCTGTCAGTCTGTCTTTAAAGTAAATAAATAAATCTTTAAGAAGCATGTATGGCCCAATACCAGTACAATCCCAATGCCTCACACAGGGTCTCTCATTCTGCAGGTGCCCAAAAGTGTCTGTCTGGGAAGGAGAGGAAATCCAGGTTACTTCTCACTGTCACTCTGCCTGCAATTTTCAAGAGAATTGGTTAGTGGGTTCCACCAAGAAAGAAGCCCGATTTCCAACCACACAGTCATCGGGATGCCCGGAGGTCCTGGGTGATCCCCACGTACAGGACGCAGTGCTGCAGAGGCATCAGTGTTGACACAGATGTTCATCCACGGGGAACTCTCGGCTGAGATCAACCACAAGCATGTGTTTTCTGCAAGAAAATCCCACAGTGAGGGCGGGTGCCAACCCTCCAAATATGTGCTAGCTCAGTAAAATAAAACCAGAACACTATCTGTAGAAACCTACAGCTACTGAACGTGGCCATAACATCTAAAATAGGTGGGTTAATTAGTCCGCAATCCATTTATGTAATATCTGGCCCTAGGGGCTCCCTTAGGGAATTGTGGAAAGTAAAGGGGGTGAAACAAACATTGGATTAAGACATTGTAGCACCTCATTCACTGGGCTTGGTCAGCCAGGTGACCCTGGAGAGACCTTCATGAGTTTCTTAACCTCTCTGTATGTAGTTCACTCATCTGTAAACTAGTCATGATGACAGACTTCCTCGTATGATGGTAAAGAAGACAACACGATATAAGGAAAGCCGTTGTCCAGTGCCTGGGATGCAGGGAGCCCAAATAATTTGAGCCATTATTATGGATTATTACTAGGTTATTACCAGAGGTTATAAAATGTTTAGAAATCTGTCTTCTTTAAAATATGTATTTATTCATTTGAAAGGTAAAGCTACAGAGAGAGAAAGAGCAAGGCAGAGAGAAAGGTTCTCCATCCACTGGTTCATTCCCCAAAAGGTTGCAATGGCCAGAACTACGCCGATCCAAAGTCAGGAGCCAGGAGCTTCTTCCAGGTCTCCCACATGAGTGCAGGGCCCCAAGCACTAGGGCCATCCTCCACTGCTTTCCCAGGCACATCAGCAGGGAGCAGGACTAGAAGTGGAGCAGCTGGAACTGGAACCGGCACCGCAAGTGGAGGTTTAACCTACTACACCACATGCCAGGGCCGGAAATCTTCCTTAAGTTGTACTGTCATGGTGACATCACAAGGCTGTTCAATGACTTCAGCGATGAATTCATCTAAGTCCTCCTTCAAAGGCAAACACGATGCAAGGGTAACTATATGAAGCCTGTACACTTAAGTAACTGCATAGCCTCAAAGAAAGAAGCTACTCGAAATCAGCAGTCTTCGTAAATCACGCCCATCGGGTTAGAACTATTAATTTTAGGTATACTCGACCATTTAGAACTTGCTCAAGAAAACAATTACTTGAAAATGCTCTGCCGCGGAGCTCGCATCAGTGGGTTGAGCCACCACCTGGCATGCAGGCATCCCATGTGAGCACTGGTTCAAGTCCCAGCTGTTCTACCTGTGATCCAGCTTCCTGTTCATGCACCTGCTAATGTAGCAAAAGATGCCCCAAGTCCACGGGCCCCTACCACCCATGGGAGACCTGGATGAAGCTCCAGGCTCCTTGCTTCAGCCTGGCCCAGCCCTGGCAGTTGCAGCCATTTGAGGAGTGAACCAGCGAATCGAAGATCTCTCACTCTCTTTCTTCTTCTCTCTAACTCCACCTTTCTAGTAAACAAATGAATCTTTTAAAAAAGCGAAAGCCAAAACAAATATGAGACACTGACATTATAATCAAAGAACTGAGACAGTGATAATTCACTTTCCTATTGTTGCTGCTTTTACCATGCTCCAAAAGAAACTTCCAAGCCCTTTCTGTAGACATTTTTATACCTGGATTATATTATCATATTAAAGCAATATAACAGCATATGAAACAGAAGGTTATAAAAAGATTTGTAATCAACTCTTAGAAAATATGGCAACAGAATGATAAAGTTACAAAACAACTATGTATCAAACTGAGTAAGAGGAAGAGAACTCCAGAACAATATAGAAAAGAGATGATTCCAGGATTCCTAAAGGCATGCGTGGTTCTGTGGTGGTATTTCAGTGTGGGCACTAAGAAAGGAGCCGTGTTGCCTTTCACCTGCTTCACTCATGCTGCTCCTTGTCGTCTGGCACCTGCTGTATACCTGCTATATACCTGCTGTATACCTGCTATACACCTGCTGTATACCTGCTGTACACCTGCTGTATACCTGCTGTATACCTGCTGTACACCTGCTATACACCTGCTATACACTTGCTGTACACCTGCTATACACCTGCTGTATACCTGCTATACACTTGCTGTACACTTGCTGTATACCTGCTATACACCTGCTGTATACCTGCTGTATACCTGCTATACACCTGCTGTATACCTGCTATACACCTGCTGTACACCTGCTATATACCTGCTATACACCTGCTATACACTTGCTGTATACCTGCTATACACCTGCTGTATACCTGCTGTATACCTGCTATACACCTGCTGTATACCTGCTATACACCTGCTGTACACCTGCTATATACCTGCTATACACCTGCCATACACCTGCTGTATACCTGCTGTATACCTGCTATACACCTGCTAGACACCTGCTGTATACCTGCAATACAACTGCTGTACACCTGCTATACACCTGCTGTATACCTGCTATACACTTGCTGTACACCTGCTGTATACCTGCTGTATACCTGCTGTATACCTGCTATACACCTGCCATACACCTGCTGTATACCTGCTGTACACCTGCTATACACCTGCTATACACTTGCTGTACACCTGCTATACACCTGCTGTATACCTGCTATACAACTGCTGTACACCTGCTATACACTTGCTGTACACCTGCTATACACCTGCTATACACTTCACCTGCTATACACTTGCTGTACACCTGCTATACACCTGCTATACACCTGCTATACACTTGCTGTACACCTGCTGTATACCTGCTATACAACTGCTGTACACCTGCTATACAACTGCTGTACACCTGCTATACACCTGCTGTATACCTGCTGTACACCAAGCCAGTGAATGCATCACCTCTGCTGCTCAGTCATGGGAACAACCAGCAGCATGGCACAATCACACGTGCCAGGAGGGCTGACATAGGGCAGTTACTGTACCTACAGCAGGTGTGCATGGAGCACAAAGCTAGTGAAAGGCACTGATGGACTGATTTTGGGTGAAAGGCGGCCATGCAAAGAGCAAGGAGTCAGGCATCACTCACTCAATTCGCCAACTCTTTAAAAGGTGCTACATAGCTGTGTTTTCTGCTATTAGGCAGAACTGCCTGTAGCCAACCCATCAATTTAGCAGAAATTCACAATTAAGCTAATTATATTGATGTGAGCACACTGTTTCAGACATTGATTTCACTGACTGCACCCCTCCCCTAATGCGCATCATGCATCCCAATGAGTGCTGTATCTAGCTCTCCCTCAGTCTCTGCATCTACAGTATCTACTTCTAGATCTCCAGGATAAATATCTGCCTATGCTTACCCAGGTTTCTATTCCCTATATAAACTCTATATATCTATAGTTAACTATCTATATTCAAGTCTATCTTCAAAATGTTTGTGTATAAGTGGACTTAAAAGACAACTTTATTTTGATGCAAAAAAAAAAACTGAAATCCATGCATAAAAAAGGCTTTTGGAAATTTTACGAAAAACATGAATTAGGAAAACATGCATAGATTTCAAGATTTCTACCAAAAAAAAAAAAAAAACTTACCTTTTAATTCTATTCCACTGATTTTTCTGAAGTATCCTGTGTGTGTGTGTTTTCAATTCTATCAATCTATCTGTGTGAATGAGTGGTAGGGATGGGTAGGTACGTAAGTAAACAGGCAGGCAGACAGACACGCTCTGTAGATATCCTATCTGTTCAACTGGCCCAGAAATTTCTCACAGCATAGCAGGTAGCAAGTACTCTTAGGCACCGACACTGTTCTCTGAACATGGGGAGCCAGAGAACTAGGTTACAGCAAATAGAACTTGAGAATTCTGTGCTTGGCTCGCTCCTTGACCTGACAGCCATGCCACGCTGTGCTGTGTTTATGTTGAGCAATACGTACTCCTGCAGATGAAACTGATAGAATGTCCCTGTGACACTGAGAGTAGCCCAAATGCTCAGCTGAGGAAATGTTCAATGCCAGAAGGAACTGAGATCTGATCCTACAGCGCAGGAGAGGAGCAGCCTTGGCTTTGGCCTATGTGCTACCTGAACATCTCATTTTCCATTCTCTTCGCAACTCATAGACAACCATTAGCAAGAAAACAGACTTCGGAAGGATCGCACATCTTGCCTTTCTTTGGTAAACTATGAATGTTGTCCCTTGTGCTGGAAGATAGTGAAGACCAATTGGGAAGGCATTAAACCAAACGACCCCAGATGGACAGTATGGGAATTGTCTGTAATGGCCACAGCAAACCTAATTATTTAATGATTGTAATCTCATGTAATAAGCAACTGAAATCAAATGGAGCACAATCAGAAGGCAATAGGAGCACATTTGATCACACACTTAAGGACCATTAGAAAGTCATATGTTACAACAATTTCCATTTGAACGACTTCATTAAGTAAGACGTATGCTTTCGGCTGTGAGGTGCCAGAGAGTTAAGTCGGAGATGAGGACAAACGCAGTAAGCAAGCAGGGGACTCACAGCTTGTGAAGAAGGACTGGGACTACACATCAGCTCTCTCAATGAGCCCAACAGCAAATCCCGGTTGTACAGATTTGCAATGAGCGAGCACACAGAGCCGGTGTGCGACTTAATTCATCTGGTCGTGGAGAGGGAAGGTGGAGGTCCATTAAGGAGGAGACCAAGGAGCTAAGATTGGGAAACAAGCGACTATCCGCCTGCTGGACAATACGTGAGAAATGATACCCACGTGCCAGACGACAGCTGCCAGCAGAGAGGCAGAATCCCATCGCTTCTCTCACAGACAAGGTCAGAGGCTACGAGCTCTGTGTCCAAATTACAACTGGGGTTTTCTTCACCCAGTCTGGAAAAGCAAAGTGATCCATTTCCACACACATCATCTGTTCAATAAATCCACTGATCAACAACCAAACCATTCATTCTGCTAATAATAATAGACTAATAGTCTACTATGTCTAATGTTCTTTTCTATGCCTAGGGTTGGAGCGGTGACTGAACAAAATACGCAACAGTTGCTTTAGGGCCGGCATGGTGGCACAGTGGGTTAAGCCTCCACCTGCAGCACCAGCATCCTGTATGGGCACAGGCTGGGCCCCAGCTGCTCTATGCCCAATCCAGCTCCCTGCTGATGCACGTGGGAAAGCAGCAGACGACGGTTCAAGTGCTTGGGACCCTGCACCCACATGAGAGACCCAGAAGAAGCTTCTGGCTCCTGGCTTTGGCCTAGTCTAGCCCCAGCCATTGCAGTCATTTGGGTAGTGAACCACAGATAGCAGATCTCTCTGTCTCTCGCTGTCGCTCCCCGTCTTCGTGGAGGAACGACACAGGACCCTGCGCTGTTCTTTCGTCTGCTCGGCCCTCCCCGGGTTTGCTGCTGGTTCTTCCCGGGTTGGCTACTATCCCTTCCACCTCCGTGGAAGGGCAGTTCCCCCTGGCCACATTCCCCACTTCCGCAGGGGAGCGGCACACCGCCGGCCGGTTCTCTCGGGGTCTGCACAGGTGTTCCTTCAGATAGATGTTCCCCATAGATGTTCCTGGTGCATGCCGTCTCTCTCCTCCTTTATAGTCCTCCTCCGCCAATCCCAACTCGGCTGCCCACACGCCGAGTACGCTGCTCTCCAATCAGGAGCAAGTCCTACAGTTTATTGGTTGAACTGGAGGCAGCTGTGTAAAAGCTGTTTTCTTCTCTCCCAGCGCCATATTGTGGGAGAGCAGATGCATAGAATAAGTCTTAATTCCAGTAACTCAGTCTAGTCCGGATTGCTCCCCACACTCGCTCTCTCTCCAACTCTATTGTTCAAATAAATAAAATACACCTTTGAAAATAAAAAAAAAAATTGCCTCAGTTACTTTGTAATATCAATAAAAAGCTAAGCACCAAAGGAGTGAACAAACACCACCCAGCCTGGCTAAACTTGGGTCGTGGACCTCAGCCCCAATGAACCAGAGTGACCACCAGGCAGGACGCTGCGACTGGCCAGTCTGGGCAGGTGCTTTGCCTTCAAACCACCACTGGAGCTAGAAGTGCTGTGTGCAGGGCAAAAAGGAGGCGCCGTTCCCGAAGTCCGTGGTTGCTGAGCTGTGAGCAGAGCAGATACCCCAACCAAACTGCACTAAAAATAAATCTGAACTCTGGTGAACGGCCAGGGCCACCCGCCTAAGTCCTCAGGCCTGGAAACCCAGGGCCCGTCACTATTCTTAGACACAGCTGTAGAAAATACAGTGGAATTCACTTCCCAGCATCTCCCGACCATCTTTCCAACCGTTGCTTTTCCTTCTTTGGCTGAGCCAATCCTGGTTATTGCTCAGCTTCAAGCAAAAAGCCAAGGAAGCAGAATGCCCCAACCCCGCGGAGGCCTGGGAGTCACCAGCACACCACATGAAAAGCCGCCGTGGCTGAGTGTGCACTGACCAGGCTGCCTGGGGTCTCTCACACGCCCTGACCAGGGCTCTAACACACGGACACACCGAGTCCCACGAAATCCAAAGAGCCAAACACAGGGTCATTTTTATGCCCTAAGCAAAGTCCTGCCAGAAAGCATCTCACCCACGGTTTAGCCCAGGGACCGTCTCTTTACACCCATGTCAATCGTCCAATCCAAGCAACTAGCCCCACACGCATCTGGCCCTCTAACGGGAATCTGAGAATAAACAGGACACAGACACAAGACCCCGCCTGACCCAACCATGAAGCCAAACAAAGAAAATGGACATGAACTTCACCACACAGTGGTGACTCGCAAGTATTTATAACCGTCATAAAGCTGGCGACCTTCAAGTCGCTGGTGTATCTGGCAGGCCCCAAACAAAAGAGGAAAAGGGCCAAGATCCCACACAGAAAGAACCCAGGGAGAGGCAAGGTCTCCCCAGTCCCACAGCGCAAATTCCAGTGCGTTCTCACGTGGACAAAGGGAGCAGACAATTCTCTCCCATCAGTGAACTGCGGTGCTGCAAGGTAGAACCAGTGCGTGTGACAACACCATTCAGGTCTGCACAGCCCTGCTGGGTCTCTCAGGGATGTCCCGTTATGCTGACTAGACAACAGGGCAGGGACCCCGAGCAGCAGTATCCACAGCTTTGGGACCTCCAATATCATGAAGAATGACAGATTAAGTCTTTATCACAACATGCGACCCCTCGGCACGCACAAGCCACAGATGCGCCTTGTAGTAACAGCAGATGCAAAACCTGCAGTGAGCCCTGAGCGGGAGAGGGCCACGCAGAGGCACTGCCAGCAATGCAGGAGGCAAGTCCTGTCGTCACATCTCGCTGTCCCCAGAGACTCAGTCTGCCTTGAGCACCTAGTCCCCTGCGTCACTACTCCCAGAACAACACCCTCTCACTTTCCTTGTTTTATGCTCCTGAAATCCAAACACTCAAGAAAAGTAAGGGGTGAAAACTGAGTGGTGTTTCTCTCTGTCCACAGCCAGGCTAAAGCATAGCTCAGAAAGCACTAGTTCATTGGGAGTTTACAAACATAGGAAGCCATACCACAAGCACATCCTAACAAATGAATATGGTAGACACACGCTAACCCCCCAAGTGAGGACATCAGCACCCACACTGTGTGACAGACACGACCAGCCTTCCTCTGCCCCCACTGCCATCTAAAGCAAACACCAGAAGTCAGGTACAAGAATGAGATGAGCGGCCAAGCACTGCTTCAATGACTTCATGACACTCAACACAATGGTCAAGTTCTATCAATGGACACCTGCTAAAACCCCGCTGTTACACACAAAGGCCAGAGCCGCAACGCATCTCAGAAGGCAGAAGCAGCCCTTTCCCTTGCCAGGAAGACTGAAAAAAAAAGAAAAGAATTTCAGTTGTTTGGCTACGAACCATGCAGCTGAGGTCTTCTGGTTGTCTGCACGTCCTCATTAAACTAAAACGCGGGACAGATTTGTGTCGGTGGGGAACAGAGGTAGAGTAACACTACAGGGGGAATTCAGGAAGAAAAATATATTCAAAGAGTTCAAAATTTTTTAAAGATGTTTTTTCTTTGTTTGAAAGGCAGAGTTACACAGAGAGAAGGGGAGAGGAGAAGGAATCTTCCATCCACTGCTTCATTCTGCAAATGGCTGTGATGGCCAGGGCTGGGCCGGGTCAAAGTCAGGAACCAGGAGCTTCATCTGGGTCTCCCACGTGGGTGCAGGGGCCCAAGGGCTTGAGCCATCCTCTGCTGCTTCCCCAGGTGCATTAGCACATACCTGGATTGGACTCGGTGCAGCCCAGATAGGAACCGGCGCCCACATGGGATGCAGATGTAGCAAAGAGTGCTTAACCTACTACGCTGCAACACCCACCCAAAGAGTTCAATATTTTTAATGACAAAAGGAAAGTTTCTATTAAACGTCTAACCATTGACTGAAATGATGAGGAAGAAATCTGACATCGCTGAAATAAACTTCTTTAAAAGCACAGAGGCCAGCATTGTGGCATAGTGGGTGAAGCCACTGCCTGTGACACCAGCATCCCATGTGAGCACCAGCTCCTGTCCCAGCTGCTCCACATCTGATCCAGCTCCCTACTTACAGCCTGGGAAAAGCACTGGAAGACGTCCCAAATGGTTGGGCCACTGGCGCCCATGCCGGGCACCTGGGTAAAGCTCCTGTCTCCTGGCTTTGGCCTAGCCCAGCCCTAGCTGTTATGTCCATCTGGGGAGTGACCAGTGGATGGAAGATCTCTCACACTTTCAAAATAAAAAACAAATATGACATTAATGAACAAATGGCAAGAATAATATTTGAAAAAAACCAAGTCTGAAAATCTGAAATAAAAATATTCAGCCTGAAAACCAGCTCATAGTATAAAATATGGACAAATAATTCTCACACTCATCTTTCTGTCGTCCCCTGTTCTCTCCCACGGTCACTTCCCTTCCTCCTCCCCTACTGAGAGTAAAGGCTAATGACCACTTGGAAAAGAAGTCCATCAAATATCATAATGACAATGAAGCACATAAAAGGGAATGAATGCTATCAAGTTTAACACAATTTAAGGAAGATCCCCAATGACAGGTTTTAGCAAAACACATTTTCTAATGAAGTATAAACACCTACGATCCCTTCACAAAGCCAGCTGGAACTGTTCTTCAAACTCCTGGGTTTTGAAGTAGGAAATCACCTACAGCTCTTCTGATCCAATGAGGTAGCCCTCCCATAAAGGACAGTTTTAGGAAAACAATGGTCACTGAGCAGCACGAATGCTTTACCAGGCTTCTGCTCTCCCCAGGAGACACAATACTGTGATGTACAGCAGGCTACAAAGGAGGCCTGGAACCCAAGCTTGTGAGCTCTGTGCCATCAGCCCTTTCACGCCCTACCCCACCACATCTGTGACATTTGTAACCTGGAAACACATACACCCAGCAAAAGAGATGCAGGAACTTACATTACGGTGCGTGTACAGGTGCCCTGGGGCTGCCACTGTGGTGCAGCAGGTTAAAGCCCTGGCCTGCAGCACCCGCATCCCATGTGGGCATAGGTTCTAGTCCCGGCTGCTCCACTTTCAAGCCAGCTCCCCGCTAACACATCTGGGAAAGCAGTATAAGATGGCCCAAGTCCATGGGCCCCTGCACCCATGTGGGAGACCTGGAAGAAGCTCCAGGCTCCTGGCTTCGGAACGGCTCAACTCCGGCTGTCATGGTCATCTGGGGAGTGAACCAGCCAGCAGATGGAAGACCTCTCTCTCTGTGTCTCCCTACCCCTCTCTATAACTGTCTCTCAAATAAATAAAATAAATCTTAATTAGAATAACAAAATGAGGTACATTAATAACTTTAATAATGTGATGAAGTATATGTTATCACAAATAAAAACTAATATGCAAAAATTGATGCTAAGCATTGTTTCAGCTCCATAAACTGCTATCAGGACCGTACTACAGAAGACTACAGTAAATGCCAAAGGCACAAGGGATGGATTTTTCCCTTCTTTTCCACATTTTCCATCATCAGCTTTCCCTGCATCAACCCATTTAATCATTCATATTTAAATTTCAAAACATTATTTAAAAACAATACTCCTGAAATTGTTAAGCAATGACTAGAAATCTGTTAGGACGCAAACACCATCAACCCCAGAGGTGACGTCCACTGAAAGGCTGCTGTGTGTGAATGTATATGCCGGCAGGCTTTGCCGTCCGCAGGAGGCGCGTGTGCACACGGTATGCGTCTGAGTACTTCCAGAAGAACGAGCTTCTGTGATATGTATTTTTCCACAACTTTCTTTTTTCAATTAGCAAGGTATCCCACATCGTTTTGTAATACTTTCCTAATCAAAATTTATTTTTCATATCATTGCTATTGACATGAAAGAACTTTCCAGCTATCCATGGAGTAAGTATGCAGGGACCACAGACTCCTTGCGAAAGACAAGTTTCCAAAAGTTTTGCTAAAGCAGACTCAGGACTTACTATAAGCACTTATTTTTTAAGAATGAATGGATGAACAAAATAGGTTAGTTTCCTGAACTCCATCAACAAAAATAAAACACAAAATAATTGGTCCCTTCAAGCTGTTTGCCCCTTTTTCAGAGGCTAGAATAGTAATGATGCAAATACACCATGAGGTGTCAGAGCACTTTTGGTAAGAAAAAAAGCCTAATTTTTTTTTAAAGTGACACACACCCTTGGATGTGCGTGGCAGAAGTAGCATCGTGCTATCTTACAATGTTAAATGCATCAATCCTGTTCAAACTTGACTCCTGCACAAGTCTGTGCTCATAATAAAAAAAAAAAAAAGATTATTTCATACCAGAACATCCTTGGTCAGCATCATTGTCAGACAGTCCAAGATAATTACAAGCATGCCCCCAACATAAACAAGGAGCCGTACGTACAAGGCTACAGAACCCCAACGTCACATGCAGAAACTATTTGACAAGCCCTACCTGAGCCATCTCACAAGTGACCTGTACGTTCTGAGTTAGCCAAACACAGCCACGGATCACACCTCTCCGGCTGTACAGGGAGCACAGCTCGCAGCTCGATGCTGCTTAGACAAATGCACTCGGGCACACGGACTGTGTCCAGCAATGGAAAAGTCCTCCTACTCCCCCAGGGTTTCTGCAGTTACAGCAGAATCTGCTAAAATTCCTCTGCGCTCACCTTCCACATAGCCATGAAAATTCCTACCTGCTGGCCACTGAACGGTCACTCGCTACAGTGAGCTGTGATTTGGATGGGAAGGAGAACTGTGCAAAAAACGAGGTGGCGGCATTTCAGTGACTAATGCCCTGTCCTTCTCCCTCTCTCTGCTTGCTGTTCCTTGTGTCATGGACTCCCCATCTTGTCCCCATCTTGTCCCATCCCCCACCCTTCCAGCTCCACCAACAGACGGGGGAGGGAGAGAAGACCTAGGTGCGAGGTGCTTACATGTGCAGACTGCGCGTCTGAGCCGGCCTTGGGAAGGTGCAATCACCCCTCGGGTGGGCGGGAGCGCACCCCGGCGTGGGACAGTCCCCACTGTGCGCAGAGGCCAGACGCAGAGGCCAGAGCAGGCGGATCCCTGAGGACACACCAGGCGTCCAGGCCTTGTCCAGCAGGAGGGGCACGGCTGGGCCGGGACAGCAAGATGATGGTGCCGCACACCACGAAGGCAATCGGGGCGCAGTACAGAAGGCACCGTCTCAGAGACAGAACGCTCAGCAGGGGGGCAACTGCACTGTCTCCACTGGTTCCTGGCACCCTCAGGCCTTCGGGGCTCCTGAGGGATTTCACAGTGGGGTCTGCCCCAGAGCGATGCACACGGATACTGCTCTCTCTAAAAGCGAGCTCACTCAGCACCGTTCAGAGAGCCAATCCCCATTCAGAGGCGGCCAACATACCTCGACCTAGAAACCATCTGGACGCCTTACTTCCCGAGCAGACGTCGTCCTTACCAAGGAGAGACACGGTGGGGGCCACGCTTCTTCAGTCATGAATCACACGGAGACGCCACGGCCGCATGGGCACGCCAGCCCAACTCTCACACGCCAACGCTTCAAAACAGGACAGAGAGAGATGCTGTTAACTCATTTTAAAAGGCTCAGTGGTAAATGCTGAACAATTCTAGAAGGTTCTATCCACAGCCTGCCCACGCAGCGCGCGATGCAGAGTGACACAGAACGGCTCGGTTACCCCCACCAATGCAGCTCCTCGCAGGCCCCTGTGGGCCAACAGGTTTCCTACCTCAGAAAACCTGAGAAGTAGAAGTTTGAGTGCTATTAACATATGAATGATGTGGATAAAATATGATGCAAACCCTTCATAATTAAGCAGTTTGGAAAAGGCATGCAGATTGGTGTGTGCATTTACACATTACACATTCATTGTTCTTTTAGAATACTCAGTCCCTTAAGCCACGCATTGCAGAAACAGGAGGTAAAGGCAGGAGGGGAACAAACTATACCCAAATTTCGAGTTTGCACTTTAGTTGCCTATGGATTTCTTTGATGCACAATTATGAAACTTCTATAGGAAACAGAATTGTGAATCATAAAAACAATGAAATTTACCAAAACCAAACCTGTCCAATTTCCTCATATAATAATAAAAATCCTGAAAACTAAATGCCCCCAAAACACCAGCCTACACAGAGACTCGGATTCCAGAATGTGGAAGAAATGGCTAACTTCCACCCATCACCCATGAAGGAGCAGAGCCACTGTCAAAGGCTGATCCCTCCACCTCCAGGCTCATGGGTTTTCTGTTCCCCTCGGAGCCTGTGCTGGGAAGTACACTGAAGCCAGCTCCACCCCTACCAAGCTTCCTAGGGAGCAGCTGGGGGTGGTGAAAGGAAAAGCAAGAGAAGAACCTTCCAGAACATTCTGGCTCTATCTCTAGGTAACGAGTCCCTCATGGTCTACGCCAGCGATGATCGAAAGGCCATCTGCTTACAGAAAATAAACAGCAGCTGGAAATGTATAAAACTTTGTGTCTACTGAAATGCCATTTTAGAAGTCCTAGGTTCAGAGGTCAGAGAGCAATGACAAGGTGGCGCTGCCTGAGGTCCCCCGCCCCCAGAAACTGTCCTTGCTCAGTTTACGGAAGCCAGGGGGTGACCCAGGCAACACCACTGGAGTGGCCCAGGTACATGCACAGTGCAGCATGGCCAACTCCAAGGTCCCAGTGGGATCTTAGAGGGGTGTGACATCATCCTTGGAAAAAGACCAGGTGCAGATGCAAGTCCTTGAGACAGAAAGAGGAGCCAGGGAGCCCTCCCCCAGGTCAGCAGCAGGCTCACTCCGGGAGGAATTCCTAAGAGCAGCCAACTTCCTTTTCCCAACACCAGTAATATCTCCACTGGGTGTGGCAACAAAAGATGTCAGTGAGTTAGGATTTCTCTACTAAAGTGTGTTTCTATCACGCGCTTCAAGTCCTAAAACCTCTGTACCACAGTGGTTACTAAAATGGCCCTTGTATCTGTTTAGCTCAAAATCAGAATTGAAATAAGGAAGTTGGACAGCTCCGCAGATTCGTGCTAATTTCAATGAAACCCTAGGTGTCGGAATTAAACTACAAACAAGGCTGATGGGTCCCCTGACCGTCCCTAGGGAGGTCACAGTTTTATGGAGGTGGCCCCTTACCTGGACATAAAGCCCTGACTGTAGGATGTGAGACATTTTCTTAAACAGAAGGCCCATAGGAGCACATGGTGAGAATACGCTATCAGGAGAAGATCCACGCTGAAGCCAGGCAGGGGCAGCCCCAGCCTGCACAGCGGCACCGGCCCCACCTTCCCCAGACGTCAAGACGCAGTGCCCACACAGCAACTCCGGCGACGGAGCTCAGGTGACTCGGTCTGGGGCACAGAACCTCTTCAGAATCTCAAGTCTACCAAGCAAGTCAGCCCAGCAGCAGGCTTCAGCAGTTACTCCTATGCCTGAGTTTACATCAACGGGGAAAAACAGACATCAGCAGCAGCCTGGCCTGGACAGCCTGGGGAGCAGCATCAGGACCCGCGATGGCCGAGCTTCAGCCCTCGCCCAGCACAGGCGGCTCCAGAGGACTCGCACAGGTGCCAAGGAGAACAGACGGGGCGCCAACGGCACAGCCTCAATGCAGCAGGACAGGATTGCGAGCCAAGCCAAAGGAAGAGACAGCGGCCCTGCAGGTCTGGAAGCTGCGCTCCTGGGTCCTCTCCCGAGGAAGTCCCAGATAGCTCGTGTAGAAGTCACCAGTTACTGACCTGCCTTCTAGAAAACCCAGAAGAAAGCCCCAAGGCTCACCCCAGCCGAGAAGTCCGGGTGTTTTAAAGCAGACACATCACAGCCTGCCTAGTAACAAGGGCTTGTGTTTTATCAACATGTAAATTTATTTTTCTAACTTCTTAGAAACTTTTTTTATTTAAGTTATACAAGGGTCATGAATTTCCTACACAGATTTAGGAACACAGCGATACTTCCCACCCTACTTTCTGTCCCACCCAAGCTCCAACCTTTTTTTTTTTTTTTAAAGATTTCTTTTATTTATTTGAAAGAGTTACAGGAAGAGGTAGAGACAGAGACAGAGATCTTTCATCCACTGGTTCACTCCCCAGATGGCCACAACGGCTGGAGCTGCGCTGATCTGAAGCCAGGAGCCAGGAGCTTCTTCCGGATTTCCCACATAGGTACAGGGTTCCAAGTACTTTGACTATCTTTCACTGCTTTTCCAGGCCATAGCAGAGTTGGATTGGAAATGGAGCAGCCAGGTCCCGAACCGGTGCCCATATGAGATGCGGGCATTGTAGGCTGTGGCTTTACCTGCTATGCTACAGCACTGCCCCCCTCCCACTCAAAATGTTTAGAAAGATCTATTTTCAGTTTACTTAATGATCATAAAGTTAACCCTATACTAAGGAAAAGTGTTCAACAAATAGTCTGAAGAAAAATACACTGTTCCTCAACAGCAGAGACGAGGGCTGTAAACAGTCACAGATCTCGGAAAGTCCATTTCACTCCAGTACAGTACATTTCAGGTGCCCTATTAGGGACCAGCAAAAGCATATGGTATCTGGGTTTTGGGGACTGGCTTATTTTGCCATTTTGTGGCAAAAGACAGGATTTCATTTTTTGACAGCTGAGTAGTATTTCACAGTGTACATACACCATCATTTCTTTATCCAGTCAACAGCTGATGGACATCTGCGTTGATTCCGTACCTTAGCTATAGTGAATCGTGTTGCAGTGGACACACGGGTACAGACCACTGTTTCATATGCTGATCCCTTTAGGTTTGGGTAACTTCCCAGGAGAGAGGTGGCTGGATCATACGGTAAATTTCTTGACTTGACTCAATTCTGTTTCAGGACAAACCTATTCTTTTCTTTAGCTTAGCGTCCACCCTGGTACAAACAAGCCCGCAGTCCTCGGTGTCACAATTCCTGAGAAACACCCTGAAGAAGAGCAGCCACCCGGAGCAGCAGGGTGTGAGGGCTCTGCAAACCAACCAGCGCTGGAGTCGAGACTCCCCCAGAGGCCTGACTCGGCGACTCCTAACGTTGTCTCCACAGGGAAATGCGGCAGTAAAATCCTACACATCAATTATGACTAAGTGCCCGTCAGCACCTGGCCTTCTGCTCAAATTCACCCCACACCCCCGCCCAGCCACTCAGAATGAGTAGCACTGTTGCAGCACCCAAAGGTCAGCCTGCCCTACAAACACCGGAGAGAAATTACCGCGTGAGGCCTGTCTTAACTGCTCAGCTTGGAAACTGGACAACAGCATAATCATACTGCAAATAAAACAGAGATGGACAAGACCACCAAGCGTCATCAAGTTTGGTGGAGAGATAAAAAGACACCTCACCAGATATAAGCTTAGGAAATCTGAGCCAGTTTCTCTACTTGCAAGAACTTTCCAGTGGCTGTTGGGGTTCAATGGACACACACCCTGGTACCCGTCTGTCAGTCAGCTAACCGCCATGCACAACCCACGGCCATGCACGGAAGGCGAAGAGGACAACAGCAGAATCAACTCTGCTCTCAGGAGCTCCCACGGACACGGCTATGTTTCTGCTGCCTACTTCAGTAAATACCACGGCACGGGAGGAAAGAAACGGTTTCCACGTAGAACAAGCATCATCTCCCTGAAAGAGGGGGAATCTGATTTTGGCTTTGGGGGATGAGTAGGAGACAGGGAGGATACTAATGAGAAGGTGGAGTAAGTCTGAGTGAGTTACAGAATAAACAAAGGGCAGGAATACCTGGGAGTGTCGACAGGTGTTACGTAAGGAGCTGCTCTGGCCACAGCCGTGCCAGGTTGGAGCCTCAGAGTCTGGTACTCCCCCAGCCTCCTTGAACGATGGAAATCCCACCTTGCAGGCCACCCGCGACAGGAGCTTGCCGGAATGCAGACTGAACAGGGCCGGGTACAACTGGGCAATTCTGCTAGGTGGAAAATCAGGACTACAGATCAGCAGGATCACAGACACAAAGTGGGGTTTGTGCTCACGTCTGCAAGGGAAAGAGTCAGCAGGAGACTGGAAGTAGGTGGGCGGTCAAGGGGTAGAGGGGAGGGAGCAGAGCACCCCCCCGCAGAGGTCCTGCCACATCTGGGGGAGTGGGAAGAAGGTTCAAATGACACACTCGGGCCGCAGGACAGGAGAAGTAGGGGACACATGGACTGCAGGCAATGTCACCATGAGAAAGAGCAGACACGCCACCCAAAGGGAGACAGGGTCCGTCCCTGGGGGCTCAGGGGAAGGTAGGATGAGAGCCATAGCTGGGACATGGCTACAGCAGCCCTGCAGGGAGAGGAAAGACAAGCCAGGGAGACACAGGCCAGGCCCTCATCAGCTCCTGGAGGTAAGCTCTCAACCCTTGAACGTCCTGCCTGGGGAGTGCCTCTGCTGTCCCAGGGCACAACAGACAGCCTATCTGACAATGCTGTTTGTGGGTGGCGCCTTGGGCCATGCTCTCTCTTCTGATTCTGGAGAGGGCTGGAGACCACAGACAGACACAGGGCCACTGGCCCTGTCTCTGTTCAACTCCAGCTGGCAACCCCAGACACCAAGGTC